CTGCATTTGTATGGCTAGGCTGCCCTCAGCACCCTTTATGGAGGGTATCCCTATGCTCTCCTGGATACAGTTGAACTCATCACTATGTTAAACTCATCACTACGAGTTCTCAAAAGGCAGATTCTAAAGCAGCAGGGGAAAGGACGTAATCCAAGTATTTTAAGTAGGGTTTAATGACTGAGTCATAGGAACCCTGAAGCAGTACCACCCCGATCCAAGAAAGCACTCACACAGGAAAGGAGACATCAGTCATGTAGGATAGAATCATGTATTTATGGTGTGCTTACATGCTTAGTTAAATCAAGATACTTTTCCTGGATTTTGACCCAATATGGTCAATATGAGTATATACCATGACAGAGGAACAACAGCCTACTGAGAAGGGTGACAAATGAAGAGTTTGAAAGAGATTGTCACTGCACCTCTAATTAAGAAAGAAATTGCAATGACTTAAAACCCTGTGGACTTATTTTGCAGCCTCTGTCTTTGAAACTGATTTTAAGATATGCGCATCAACTGCATTTTAAATGTAATTATTTAACTACTTCTTTTTCATTTATTGTGTATAGAAGTGAGAGCAATTTCACTCTGAGATTTGTTGTCATCTGGGTGTCTTATGGCAGTTAGGTTTCTTTGCTGGTCAGACAGCTGCCAAGACAGCTCTCATCACTTCAGCACCAGGCTGATAATTTAGCTTTCAAAAGACTATAACTGTCATAGGACATCAAGACAATATAACACAAGGTGGTCTTGCAGGTAGCTGGAATCCATTATATTATGAATTTTCAAATGTTTAAGTAAGCCTTGAAATTTTACTGTGTGTTCAGTTGCACGTAGGTCATTAACGTAATGCACTTCTGGTGTTCTTGTAATAGCAGGTGTTGACCTGTCTTTTAAGGCTTATTTTTCATAGGCCATAACACACAGTACTCACTGTAAGATAATGTTGGTAATAGCTTATGATCATTACAGACAGGATAAGAGTAGGAATAGTACTACACGTATACAAGTGAACATTAAAATCTATTTATATCATCTTAAGTTTTACCTGGGGTAACTGTGTCAGATGACCAGAAAATATGTTGGATATAGATGGCAGAGATGAGTTTGGGCTTTCCACTGACAAAAACAGCCAATAGAAGCAAACCTATTGCTAAGTGGCCAACAGACACATACAACGAACTTTATTTCCATGTGAAAAATAAAATTTTAAAGGCAAAATATGAAACCAAGCACGATATTACCAAGAAACTCACATCAAGTGACCAGATAATGCCAGCTTCTGAGAGTTTTATCTGAATAGCAATTTCACAACAGTTCTGTCAAACAGAATACACTTAAATAACTATCTACAGCAAATGTTATTTACAGCACCTACAGCAAACAGTTGAGTATAATTCAGGGAAGCCCAGACTGGTGACTTCTGAAATGAGCTCTCTCTGTAAACTAGCCCCAGGAGTACCAGATTATAGCTGTCTGGCAGAGAGGATTTCCCCTTAGCTAGGATTACTAGGTTGGGTATGGCATTGCACATGACACTGAATTTCAGCATGAAAGTTAATACCTCCATTCAGCCTTTTGCTGTAATGTATAGACATAATTAGGGTTGACAAGGGGAGATAACATAAAAGTAAAAAGGAAAGGTTAAAAACCCAAGAAACACAAGTAATGCACAATACAATTGCTCACCACCTGCCGACCGATACCCAGCCTGACCCGAGCAGCGATCTGAGCCTTCTGGGTAACTCCCCCCAGTTTCTATACTGGGCATGACGTGCTGTGGTATGGAACACCCCTTTTGCCAGTCTGGGTCAGGTGTCCTGGCTCTGCTTCCTCCCGGCTTCTTGTGCCCCTCCTCACTGGCAGAGCATGACACTGAAAAGTCCTTGATCGGAGTAAGAATGTATTTTATACATCAGCGATCTTAATTCAATCAGAAATCATACAGCTAACCTCTTCACAGAAAGTGGCCACCAGCTCTATTTGTTGCAAAATGCTATAAAGAGCCTGCAAAGGTTTTTCCAAACCTTTAATACAGAACTTGGCTGGGCTCTGTGGTGTGGCTCAAATTTCTGTCCAATAATATATTCTTTATTTATTAGGGTTTAATATTTATTAGTCTAAGGATTTTAGGATGCAGAAAGCCTGCTAAAAGACACCAACATTGGGAAGCTGGAATGCTACCACACACTGACTTCAACTTAATTTTCTTCTTCTAAGAGGAAGCTTCAGAAACTAATTCATCTTTATAGACCTCTTAGAGAAAACCCTTTTTGTTAAGGTTTTCCAATTGCCCAAAATGAATTGAAAAGATTTGCAACAACATGCAATTCCTTCAAACAGAATAAAACATTTGGTATGCCACTTGGTCCATCACTTAGGGGATTAAGACCCAGAGAAAATCAGGACCAAGCAGAGAAATAAGGTTTGTTGTTTATTTTGCTCTCCCTTCTCATAACTTGGGGTGGAATCAACTACAATAAAGTCAATGAACTATTTGTTTGTCCTACAGATTTTATTTATCAATAGTGAACTACGAGAGACAAAGAAATATCTGCAATGGGAAAGTATTTGTGAAGCTTGTGATTTTATGTCTTCTCTTAGGTGCTAAATAAATTAAGGACAAAATTCCAAAGGTGACTTCTCTAGTGACTAATTCAACAGAAGCAATCAAATTTGTCAGAACACATACTGATGTCTCCATGTGAGCTGCCCACCCCAGACCAACTTTGTTCTCAGTGGTGAGAAGTCAAGACTTTTAATGTGCAATTGTTCTTATTACACAGGGAACATCAACAATAAGTCAAATGAATCTCTGAAAGTATATAACAGATGTCCAGGGTTAGATGAGATTAAACACACCCTTTGTGTTTCTGAAATTAGTAACAGTCATATAAAAGATTCAATAGAAAGTTACTTCCAAGCATTAGATCTCCTGAAGCTTAAAAGAGTCAGCAGAATCATTATGTAATGGTTTTGTAGACACACCACGACACTTCTGTCTGATAAAAATATTTGCCTGTAATATTTCATTAAATTTAGAGTTACTGTGTAGCAACTATAAGAGGTTGATGGCTGCCAAGAGCTGTGAGGTTGCTGAATAGAATGGTGTTTCTGGAGCCTTGCCCAGAGTTGAGACAAAATTTGACTCATCTTCACGCATATATTTGCAATATACCTTCAAACTAAAATAAGGATTTAACTCCATCACGAGGTTCTAGTGATATCCTGTTACAGCCAAGACTTGATTATAATATCAATAGAAGCTTCTAAGTGGCTCTGAAGAGAAAAGCGATCTTTCCATAGCTATAGTCGTTGGGATGTTTGTGACCTTGAATTGTGTTCTTCCAGAATACACATGCCCTAAGCACTGGTTCAGTTGTTGGTAGCAGGATAAATATAATTTGAGCTCCATTTTGGGTCTTTGTACTACTTCACAGTATATTAGCAAATATTGCAGTGAGTAGGAAATACTGTGCTTGGGAAGGCTATGCATGCGAGAATTTAGAAACTGTAGGATAGGAGCTGAGCTGGATCAAGACTGATGAATTCACCATGTCTATTTTTGCTTTCATTTTCAGCTAACAGTTTTCCAACAAAAAATGGAGATAAAAGATTGAAAGAGAGAGAGAAGAAGGACATAGAACTGCTTGAGCAAGTCCAGAGGAGGCCATGAGGATGACACGGGAGCTGGAGCACCTCCCTTATGAAGACAGGCTGAGAACACTGGGACAGTTCTGCCTGGAGAAGAGAAGCTGTGTGGAGACCTCAGAGCAGCTTCCAGTATCTGAAGGGGCCTACAAGGATGCTGGGGAGGGACTCTTCATCAGGGACTGTAGTGATAGGACAAGGGGGAATGGGTTCAAACTGAAACAGGGGAAGTTCAGGCTAGATATAAGGAAGAAGTTCTTTACTGTAAGGGTGGTGAGGACCTGGCACAGGTTGCCCAAAGAACTGGTAAATGCTCCATCCCTGGCAGTGTTCAAGGCCAGGTTGGACAGGGCCTTGGGTGACATCATCTGGTGGATAGTGTCCCTGCCCATGGCAGGGAGTTGGAAGCAGATAACCTTAAGGTCCTTTCCAACCCAAACCATTCTACGATTCTAAAATAAGAAAATTGCATGACATTTCCCTGACATGATTCTGTTCAATGTGCTTACAATTTTATTAAAATTTTATTCAGTCTTTTTCTGACCCATCTGTTCAAACTTCTTGACATCTACCCTGTCACTTACTGAATGCTCATGTACTTTTGAGTACAAGGGCAGTCTCAAGTAAGATTTTTATACATCACCATGATACAAACAGTAATAAAAAATACCTTCAAACAACTAAGTAACTAACATCCCATCTTTTTTGATAGTCAATCCTTTGATCTGCAAGCTGAAGAGATCAGTCAATAATAATCTGGGAATGGAGATAAGAAATATTTTCTTTTAATTACTGAAGTGCCACTTTTTACAAGTATCACATCATCCGTCAGAAGATGGAAGCACTAAACCCTATGAGTTCAAAGGAATCCCATGAGCTCTAGTCTCTCTGTTTCTTGCACATCCATAATTTGATTCCAATACTTCTACTGGATAACCAAGCAGGTTTCAAAAATTCTTGTACATTTACCGAGAAAAGTTGTTCTGCAATTTTCCAGATGGAAAGTTTTTTATTTATATTTGACTGATGCTCTGGATTTTTCAAAAGAATTGGTGAACAGTAATGCAGTGAGCAAGTTACCAGCATGCACTGTCCAAAATACGTTATTGCCCCAGCATTACTCCCAAGGCTCAGAGTGGCTGGTTGGATTGCACCATTTTAACATATGGTAATTACCACCATGGAGAAGAAAAGGCTTAGGAAGACATAATGGAATTATAAGTCCTGCTGTGTTAACAATAGATACTGTAGTAAAATACTGTCTTTTATTATCACTACACAGTAAGAGTCGAGGTTATTCTTACTATTTTGTCTAATTACTATTAAAATAATGCAACATTTACTCTTACCACTGAGAAGCCAGTGTGGAAAAGATATCGGTGGTTTCAGGTACTTGGAACAGTTTCAGAAGTTCTGGTTCAGATGATAAGTCAGCAAGGATCCTTAACTCAATATGGGAAAAATCTAGAAAACAGTCTTAAAATAAATCTCTTGCTCTAAAATAAAATTGTACCTGCATTTTAACCAAACTATCATGAATTAAAACACAAGCCTGGACTGTCCAGTCATTTCCTCACACTCAGAAAAAGCAGATGTCTGTAAAAAGTTCATCCTGAAGTAATTCCAGCTAAAGATCACAAGGTGTCTGATTGCTTCATTATCTTCAGATGTCAATTAATCTTGTTAGCTCTTTGTTTCTACTGACAAGGCTTACATATCATCCACTTCCAAAGCGCACTAAGGAGTATACATAATATAACAATATTCATTGATACTAAGAGATGTGACAGCCTTGTAAAATATGTCATCCAAAGGAGACTGAAATAAGAGATGACAGAACTGCAAGCATTAATATGTATGAGAATAGTAATACATACTATCTTACCTGCTGCTAAAAATGAATATCCTTTTTTTGACACAAACAGTGTTCTTGGGGAAATAGTTACTATTTCCTCTTCTTTTCCTAGAGAGGGGATAGACATATGAGTCCCAAACCCCAGTTCAAAAATACTGTGTTGCAAACCATAGGAGGTTTTAAATGACATACCAAGGACACAACTAAAACTACACAAAGAGCAATGTAAGCAACCTAGCAGAGCACCAACCGCCAGAATTGCAATTATTTTACTCTATCAGTCATGTACAACATCTTTATCTCTGCCAATCCTGCAATATTGCTTACTTCTCCTTTTTCAAAACCAAACCCTTCCCAAAACACTAGCTAACAAATATCTACAAAACTAACATTATTCACTGATCACCTAAGGAAGCATTCAGATAAGGAAGGATCTAGAGATGAACTGAAAGAATATATTTTCTAATCTTTGAATATGCTGCAGTGATATATTAACAACAAATTCCGATTTACAGGTGGGAGGGGGACTGTAGTTGACATTGGCTTCCAAATTCTAATGACAGAAGTTCCCTGTAATATCACAAAGCAATAATGTACACTGACAAGGTATTAGAAACAATGCATCCTGGGAGTACCACTCGTCTTGGTGTAGAAAGGGATGGTAGTTAGAAATACAACAGAATTAATCTGATCAGCATGAGAACGGAAAAGTGTGTCATACAGGAATGAAACACACAGAAATACATTTGTGAGAATCACATATTACATTGATTGGACTGTTTCCAGAAAGGCCTGTGCCACAGTTATGCACAGCTTAAGCTCAGGTTCACACAGGCACCGCTCACATAATTTTTTGGTAACAACTTACAGTATTTGCAAAAAAGAATCAGATAGATAAAATAAAACTGCTGTCAACGTTTTACATTGTCTTCAACAGACTCCTGTTTTATGATCTGTATTATTTCAAACACGGGGAGTGAAGAGCAGCAAAACGCTGCCCTCTCTGAGAACCAAGTGTAAACAAATCAGCACCATTTCCCGGCTATGGATGTAGGTGTTCAAGAAGGAGAGTATATGTTGGCAAATCTGTCTCTCTTATTTGAGTCTACTGTTGTAGATTTCTCTCTTTATCACCTGGGTCATGCTTTTCTACACTTTACTGTAACTCTCTCTGAATCATCTGCCTTAAATCCACTTCTGTTATTACAAACAACACATCTGACTATTGGTGTTTAGATATGAGGTTGATTAAAATGACCCAGCTTGAACACTACCTCAGGCAAAGCCTTACAAGCTGAATTCACACAAAAATCACCCCTAGAATCTTTAATGGCATCAAGATGTGTAATTTCATCTGGAACAAGAACAGTGAGATAGTCGAAGGCAGCAAAAATATCTCAAAGTTTGTTACTATTATAGCAATGCTGAAACAGCAAATTTTTTTGCAGGAACAGCCAGCAAAAAGTACTTAGTTTAAATGACAATGTATAACTAAGCACCAATAATCTATTCTCTTCTTTAACGAGGGCGCTATTGGTCTACTTTAAAATATAGCTTAGTAAAATAATTAGATAAAATTGCCTTTTCATATTAGTAAAAACAGACTTTACCTTTAATGTACTGTTTCTTTGTGATTCTAACTGGATGTTTAGAGATACCTTGAATGTTCTACAAGTAAGAAGAATAAAAATGCTTAGTAAAGTGAAAATTTATGAGACCATGTTTATGAACAATTTATAAGTACCATAAGAACATCTGTGATACTAATGCCAACAAGTTTTCCCTGTACAATAAATAAGATTAACACTTTGCCTTTCAAAGGAATCTTCCCACGTCTGTAACTATTGATACTTTTACACAGATGTTCTTCCTTGAAAATTGGGAACTTGTAAGAACATTTTCTCACTGGCAGCCTTTCCAAATCCTAATCTCTGGATGCACCACAGAACATAATTAAACACCCAATAAAAATAATTTCCTCCTTATTTTAACCTGTATTTTTTAAGATATGTTGCATTACTCTCGGACAAGAATACATGCAAACCCTGACTTAAGCTAATGGAATAGATTCTTCTTCAGCCTCCAAAAATTTTCTGATGTCTATTCCCACTTTTTGGAAATGCTTTATAAAACAATGAAGGAGCTTTTTGTTAATCCTTAGGTCGCTGGTTCATTTCCCGCTTGAAGGAGACGTTGAATTTTAGGGATGCCATCCAGAGGGACCTTGACAAGCTTGTGAGGTGGGCTGATGCCAACCTCATGAAGTTTAACCAAGCCAAGTGCAAGGTCCTACACCTGGGTCGGCACAACCCCAGGCACAGCTCCAGGTTGGGCAGAGAAGAGATTGAAAGCAGCCCTGTGGAGAAGGACTTGGGGGTGTTGGTTGATGAGAAGCTTGACATGAGCTTCAGTGTGCACTTGCAGCCCAACAAACCGTATCCTGGACTGTATCAAAAGAAGCGTGACCAGCAGGTCAAAGGAGGTGATCCTGCCCCTCTACTCTGCTCTTGTGAGACCTCACTTGGAGTATTGTGTCCAGTTCTGGTGTCCTCAACATAAAAAGGACATGGAGCTGTTGGAGCAAGTCCAGAGGAGGGCCACGAGGATGATAAGAGGACTGGAGCACCTCCCGTATGAAGACAGGCTGAGAACACTGGGGCTGTTCAGCCTGGAG